TCTCTCAGCAACCTCTGAGGCATCCCTCCTGCCCTCTGTGACCTCCTCCTGCCATCCTCCCCCTTCCCTCTCTACTCCAAACATACCAGCCTTGTTGATTTGGACCATGTAACACATTCCCTCAGGTTTTTGCACCTGTTCTTCCCTCTCCTGGGAATGCCGTTTTCCCAGATGCCTTCGTGGCTTGCCCCCTCACTTCCTTCAGCCCTTTGCTAATATGTCACCTTCCTGGCGAGACATTCCCCGGCGTGCTTTTAGAATTTCTTTTCCTCCCAGTTCCCATTCTCCTTCTCGTTGTCCCTGTTCCCTGCTTCTTCTCTCCCCCAGCACTTGTTACCTTTACTATGATATCTTACTTATCTGCTTAGTTTTTTTTTTCTGCCTGCCCACTGTAAGCTCCATGGGGCAAGAATTTTTGTTTTGTCACTGCTGCATCCCCAGTGCCTGGAACTGTGCCAAACACCCATAGGTCCTCTAAATATTTCTTCAGTGAGCAACTGTGGCCTTCATATTAACCTCATAGGAAAAGGCTGTTATATAGTATTTATCACTAGATAATCAGGTGGGGTTTTGTTGTTGTTATTTCTTTTCTTTGTTTCTTTGTTTTTTTTTTTTTTCTTTTTCTTTTCTTTATTTCTTTTGTTTGTTTTTTGCCAACAGCTAACATTTATCAAGCCTCTGTAGTGTTCTAGGAACACAAAGGTGAGCAACATGGTTCCTGGTGCATGGAGTTTAGCCTGTTGAACAAACAAACAAAAATAAATTCATATTGCTGATAAATTCATACTGCTTTCTTTTAACATCACTGTGTAAAATTCACCATGTTTTTTATTAACATACTTAGATATTCATGACTAACAAAAAACAACAGATGTGTGTAACCTCTCCAGACCTAGAAATAAAGGTGGAAGCATTTGTCATTTGCTTCCTCTCCAGATTTATCCACACCCATGCGGGCATCTGCATACAAAATGGGTGCCAGAGGTAGAATTTTTCTAGGGTTGGTCCCAGAGGAAAGACTATCCTAAGACGATAGACCTTGGGTGGGCCAAGATTACCTTTTGAGGTGCAATCCCCAGAAGAACAAAGGGACAGACAGTAATACTTGGAGAAAGACCATGGGAGTTGAGATCTGAATGTTATTAATACATGCTCCTCTAAGCCAGGGAGAAAGTGCCAGTTGTCCTCTGGTAGGGTAAGGAAGCTTTGCCCAAACCTAGAATTTACCTTTTGCAGAATAAGTTTATTTAAACAGTTAAAAAAATTGTGGTGAGATGCACATAGCATTTGCCATCTTAAACATTTTCAAGTGTGTGGTTTAGTAGTGTTAAGTGTATTTACATTGTATTTACATTGTGCAAATAAGTCTAAATAAGTCCCCAAGCCTCCCTTCCCCCCCAAGTCCCTGGTGACCAACATTCTATTCTCTGTCTCTATAGTTTTGACTACTCTGAGTACCTCATACAAGTGGAATCATGCAGTATTTGTCTTTTGGTGACTGAGTTAATTTTATTTTGCATTATGTCTTCAGTGTTGATCCATGTTGTGGCATGTGTCCAGAATTTCCTTCCTTTTAAGTCTGTATAATTTAGTGGCCATTTTTATTTTATTGTACTTTTTTAAAAACATTTTTAAATTTAAATTCAATTAATTAATATACAGTGTATTATTGGTTCAGAGGTATAGGCCTATGATTCATCAGTCTTATATAACATCCAGTGCTTATTACATCACGTGCCCTCCTTAATGCCCATCACCCAGTTACCCCATCCCTCCAACCCCCTGCCCTCCAGCAACCTCAGTTTGTTTCCTGTGGTTAAGAGTCTCATATGGTTTGTCTCTCTCTCTGGTTTTGTCTTGTTTTATTTTTTCCTCTCTTCCCCACGATCCTCTGTTTTGTTTCTTTAATTCCACATATCAGCGAGATCATATGATAATTGTCTTTCTCTGATTGCCTCACTTCACTTAGCATAATACCCTCAAGTTCTATCCATGCAGTTGCAAATGGCAAGATTTCATTTTTTTTGATGGGTGTGTAATTAGTGGTCATTTTTAAAAACATAAGATGCTGAACACAGCTGATCTTTGCGCCCAGAGTTGGATTAGTCAGCAGGCTGGGTAAATTCTCAATGGCCTCACCACTAGTTCTGCCCTTGTGGAGGGTTATCAATGTATCTCTTAGCCTACGGGTCACCTAAGGGGAAACTGTAGTATACCCTTTTGAATTGGTCAGCTTGGAATGTAATGAAACAGCTCTGGAGTTTGGAATTATAGACAAGTTTAAGAGGATTTTGTTGCCTATTAGCTCTATAAACTACCTTCTTGTACGTCACCTCCCCTGGAGAAATCCCTTGAATATCTGAGCCTTAGATGTGTTGTGAGAGGACATGTTTCCCTCTCACCTCTAGCTGACCACTTATGTAGCAGGCAAGCACCTTTGGGGAAAGATTTTTTAAAATTCTAATCCTGCCTCAAGATAACAACCTACATTCTACCAAATGTGCAATTCATTTCCTCTTTGCCCTTTCACTCAACCAAATTTAAGAGCTTACTAAGTATTATTGCTCTCCATTTTTGTGGCAGGAGTTGGTTTTCAAAGCATTTTCACATACATTCATTTTTTAATAACGGATTTGTTGAGATTCATCTAGCACACAGTTCACCCTTTTAGCACATTCACAGGGTTGTACAACTGTCACTACAGTCAATTTTAGAATATTCCCATCATCCCAAAAGAAACCCTTCACCCCTCAGCTGTCACTCCTGTTCCTTCCTCTCCAGCTCTGGGCAACCACAAATCCATTTTCTGTCTCTGTAGATTTGCCAGTTGCTAGAAGTGGAATCCTACAATATGTGGCCCTTACTAATTGACTTTTTTTGCTGAGAATTTTTTTAAGGTTCCATGGAGCATGTATCAATACTTTATTCCTTTTTATGGCTGAATAACTTTTTATGGGTATACCACATTTTGTTTACCTGTTCATTAGCTATTGAATCTTTGGGTCATTTCCATTTAGCTGTTGTGAATAGTCCTCATAGAAACATGTACAGTGTAGTTTTTCTTGGGACATATGTTTCATTCCTGTTGGGTACATACTGAGGAGTGGAATTGCTCTTATAAACTTTCATTTTGCCAGTTTTTACCACTGTAAAGTCATTCTAAATTTTGCCTTTTCATTACTGTACTCTTTGGAAGGAAGTCTTCCATACAGCCCCTGCTTCAGGAGTGGGGAGTTAGGTTACAATTCTCTGAGGGCAGAGTTTCTGTATAAATTATTGGGCAATTCTTCTGCAAGGAAGATTTGGCTTCTCTCGCATTTATTTGTTTATTCAAACATTCATTGACGTCAGTGTGGACTCATGGATACTTAGTTTATACTTTGGATTATAATCCAGTGTTACTTTACTTTTTTGTTCAACTTCTTCCAACTTTGGCCCCTAGAACTCTTTCATTTGGCTCCTGCGATCCTTTGATATGTTCTGTCAGGATAGCCTTTACAATTCTTTTTAATTTTAATTTTTTATTAGCACTATGTACTTTTTGGCACTCCCAATTACTCTGGGCTCATGTTGTGTATTTCCTGGCTCAGTCCCAGAATCAGCCATTTCTCCAAGAAGCTCTGGTTCCCTTTATTAGAGAATGATATTAGCAACCCAAGATTTGGGCTCTAGATGTGCTCCTTAACATTCATTTTTAACCTTTTGAACAACTTCATGTGAGTTTTTCATGTCTTTTTTATCTTTTCCTTTTCTGGTAGCACACTGAAATAGCATGGGAGAGGTACCACTAGTTAGGATCCCAGGGTTTGGCTCTTTGGGTTTATCTCATAGCTCCAGCACGTTTAGCCTATATATTCTTAACCCCTCTATGCCTCAGTTTGCCCATATATAAAATGGGAAATAATAATACCACCTGCTTTGTGGGGTTGTTGTAAAGATTGACAGAGGAACGATGTATAAGATGTTAAATCTTTCCTGGCACCCAAGATGTGCTTAAAAGCTGGTGGTGGGGGGCGCCTGGGTGGCTCAGTGGGTTAAGTCGCTGTGTTCGGCTCAGGTCATGATCTCAGGGTCCTGGAATCGAGTCCCGCATCGGGCTCTCTGCTCAGCAGGGAGCCTGCTTCCCTCTCTCTCTCTTTCTCTCTCTGCCTGCCTCTCTGTCTACTTGTGATCTCTCTCTGTCAAATAAATAAATAAAATCTTAAAAAAAAAAAGCTGGTGGTGGTAGCAGCAATTGTTTAATTGAAGAGGGTGGGGAAAATACTATCTCTGTTATTCACCTTAAGTGACTTGCCCGACACAGTGGTCAAATGGGGGTTCACAGAGGAGTCTTTCACTTTCACCACACCCTACTGGCTCCCGACTGTGGAGTTTTTGTTTCGGTGTGTGAACTAATGTTAACTACCTGACATCCAAGTAGTGTGTCAGGCAGAATATTACTGCTGACTCTGGTCAGCAGTAATATTGTTGAGGATTGAGTTGAGGATTCAGGGGCTCCTGTATGGAAAGAGATAACATTTTTTTAATGAACATATAATGTAGTATTTGCTTTGGGGTACAGGTCTGTGAATCATCAGTCTTACTCAATTCACAGCACTCACCATAGCACATAACCCTCCCAATGTCCATCACCCAGCCACCCTATCCCTCCCTCCTGACCCCCCAGCAGCCCTCAGTTTGTTTCCTGAGATTAAGAGTCTCTTACGATTTGTCTTCCTCCCTTGTTTCATTTTGTTTCCATCTTGTTTCATTTTTTCCCTCCCTACCCCCACCACCCTCCACCCTGCCTCTCAAATTCCTCATATCAGAGAGATTATATGATAATTATCTTTAAGAGATAACATTTTAAATAAATACAGCTATACAAATATATAATTTTAAGATATTAAGTGTTTTAGAATAGGATGCTGTATAATTTTAAAAATTTCATTCTGGGTTAGGAATGAAAAACTGTTCCATTAAGTTAACTGGACACATTTATTAATTTTCTTTCCCTTTAGTGGACTCATTGGACAAAGCTGGGCTATGTTGTTTGCCAGTGGAGGCTTCAAGGTGAAACTCTATGATATTGGGCAACAGCAGGTAACAAATGCCTTGGAAAAGATCAGGTAAGTTGGCTAGCACCCTCCAGGAGGAATTGGAAAGGCTCTGCTGCTCTCAGTGGGTCTTGTTTATCATACTCTCAAGGCTATAACTATCTGTGATTTTACTCTTCCATTTGATGGCTGTTACAGTGCCTTTGAGCTGGTAAAGGCCAGACCCACAGTGGGTGAGCCATAAAAAATTAAGACTGAAGAAGGGGCTCAGATTGTGAGGAGAGGACTGTTTGTGTGATATAAAAATGTGTGATGGGAGTAGAGGAGATGAACATCCCTCTAAGGCTTCTAGCCTGAGTGAGTAAGCTTCTGTCCCTGTGTCACACTGGGCTGGAGGTCAGGGTTTCCCTGTGTTCCCTCTGGGCAGATGACCAGCTCTCAGCATGTGATAGCTTAGAGCTTCATGGGCATTTTATTTTAGGAAGAGGGGGTCCTGAGGTTTGTTTTGACCTATCGATCTAATGTTGTCAGGACTCAAATGAACTGTGATAACTGTAATACTTAGAGGTGTCAGAGCTGATGAAGTTATATGTACTGAGTGCTAAGCATGAGGAGGGGTAAGTTTTGGAATAATCACAGGGGGTAAGAAGGAAAATAGGAACCATAGGAAAGAGGCCAAGTATGGGGAGGTCAAAGATAGAAGCACCAAACTAATGTAATGTGCTGGAAGGTCACAGGGCCCTAATTTATGACACATTCACCTAAGAGGACTATCACTGAACACAGTTTTGACCATCTCAAATGTGGTATTGTATAGGTAGTTATTCTCCTTGGGGGAGATCCATGAATGTATAACTTGAATTTACATTTTGTGTAACAAAAATATGCTGACTTTATTGTTACTTTTTGAAAAGACTAATATATATGGTGTGACATCAGGCTGTAGACACCAAGAAATGATATACCTTAGTTCAGTTTTGTTGTGTAACAGATTAAGAACCCAAAACCTGGAGAAGTCAAGTTACTTCTTACAGGTAGTAACATATAGTCAATGCCAAGATGAAGTGTCAATCTGAAAAGCGAACAAACAGGGGTGCTTGCCTGCCTGACTCAGTTGGTGGAGCATGTGACTCTTGATCTTGGGGTTGTAAGTTCAAGCCCCACATTGGGTGTAGGGATTACTTAAAAATAAAATCTTTAAAATTAAAAATAAACCCCAAACAAAAAAAAAATGAAAGAACGACTTTAAAACTAAACACATATACTCCTAACATTTTGTTCTGTGCTCTTATAGAAGGAAGAGGAATTAGCATAATAAATATCTGCTATGTTCCAGGTATGTGCTCCCCACTAGGGATACATAGATGACTAAGAGAGATACAGTTCTATCCACCATGGAATTTACTAGTCTGGTAATCTTACCATATAAATTCTCATAGTAAGCCCCATGAGGCAGATTATATTGCCATTATTTTAGGAGAAAACTTAGGTCTATGAATGGTCAGTAACCTGCTCAAAAAGACACAGTAAGGTAGAAGATTCAAACTCTGGTTCACCTGACACGTTAAGGGTGGGTCTGAGTGCCTTTAGCACCCATCTATACTATTTGCTTTATAGAGATCCTGCAAACATTACTTTTAATATAATATTTAAAATACACAGAGGGATAGATCATTTATGTTAGTTTATGAAGTACACAATAAAAGGAGCATTTATGAAACTACTGTCCATCTTGAGATCTAGGTATTGTCAAGACCCTGTGTTTACCTTTTGAAACTGATCCCTGTCTTCCCACCAGAAGTAACTATACTGTTACCTTGCCTTAAAGAAGTTTTATTGTTGATATGTACTCTAAATAATGTATGGTTTAGTTTTGCTTATTTTTGTGCCTTATGAAATTTTTTTGAGGTTCATCCATGTTATTGGTTATAGTTGTAGTACATCTATGTTTATTGCTATATAATTTTCTAGTGTGTGACTTTGCTATTATTTACTTCTGTTTTATCCTTCTGATGAACATTAAGCTATTTCCAGTTGGGGGCTATTGTAAACAATGTTGCCATTTGTGTCCTTGTATATGTCTCCTGGTACATAAGTACAAGAATATCTACAGTGTACATACCTAAGAGTGAGACTGCTTGGTTTATTTTTCCTTCTTGGATTCTGATTATATGTCTGTTGAACCAATTCATTCTAGCCTTCACATCTTTTAACCTCTCTTATATTTTCTGTTTCCCTGACTCCTTGGAATCAGGAGTCAGGACTCCTTTGGATACATTCCTTAGATTTTTCTTCCAGTTCACAATTCTAGTTTTAGCTGTGTCTTATCTATTGTTTAAGCCATCCACTGAATTTATTTCAATAATCAAATTTTCACTTTAATAGCTCTATCTGCTTCTTTTCCAAAAATACTCATTCATTTTTAATAGCTTCTCATTATTTTGCTCATTCTCTGTGGTTACTTTTTTTTTTAAAGATTTTATTTATTTATTTGTCAGAGAGAGAGAGAGAGAGAGACAGAGAGCAGGGGCAAGCAGGCAGAGTAGCAGGCAGAGGGAGAAGCAGGCTCAACACATAGCAAGGAGCCTGATGTGGGACTTGATCCCGGGACCCTGGGATCATGACCTGAGCTGAAGGCAGACACTTAGACCTGACTGAGCTACTCAGGTGTCCCTGTGGTTACAGTTTTTAAATCTTTGTGCACTTAATACATAATTGTTTATATTCTATATCTAATAATTCCAGTATCTGAGGTTGTCTTAGCTCAGGTTCCTCAAAATCAGATCCTGAGATAGAGATTCTCAGGCCAGTGATTTATTGAAGAAGTGCTACAAGGAGAAACCAATGAGGGATTGATTGGTAGGGACAGAAAAAGGAAGACAAAGAGGCCAACTAAGGGTATAATTTCAGAAGTCCCAGGATCAGCAAGATTCCTGGAGTCCAGGAGCATAAAATATTGTGTCAAGTATGTCACCACTTAAGGCAAGAGCTGAGTTTCCATATTTCTGCATCAGTCACTGACTGAGGGGCATTCCTAGGGGCTTGGGTGGATGTGAACTCCCAGGCGCTTCTGTGTCTCTGCTCTGGGTCCTGGGGTAGTACTTTAGGGGTGGGGGCAGGTGTGAGCCATTAGCAGCAAAGATTCAAAAGTTGGAGGATAGGCACCCCGTGATGGTCAAAGGGATTCAAAGAGGACTGGGTGGAGCACCAAAGGCTAGACTGCCAAACTGTCTTCCAAATGCGTGGGCCATTTTGCACTCCCACCAGCATAAGTCAGAGTTCTAGCAGCGTTTGGTGGTGTCAGTGTTCTGGATTTGGGCCATTCTAACAGGTAGTAGTGGTAGCTCATTGTCGTTTTACTTTGCATTTCCTTGATGACAAATCTGTGGAGCATCTTTTCATATGTTTATTTGCTATTTGTGTATCTTCTTTGAGTTCTTTTTCTGTTTTTGCTTCTTTTGGTTAAAGAGAGAACCTTGAAATTTTTCCTGACTTGCTCTGCTTGCTGTGACTCCCTCATGCATAAAAATTATTCCTATGTGGGATCTTGTAGTTTGTAAGAGTCCCTTCAGAGATTTTGGCCCACTATAGTGTTGGAAGTGCAAGTCTTCTAAAGTCTTTAAATCTTAAGCCTTACTAAAAAAAGTTCAAAAGCCTTATGTTCGACTGTTGTAATGCAGAAGAAAATATACTTCTGGAGAGAATGATCATAAAAATGGAACCAGCTTGGAGGTAAAAGATTTCTTCAAATTGAGTTAGAGTGTTTTAAAAGGGCATCAAGATAGGGAACACAGTAGCACAAAGAACTTAATATTTGGTTTAATGATGGTGATATAGGGCGTAATGGGAAGTGATCTATTATTGATAATGAAAAATCATTAAGGGGGATACCATTGTAAAGAAACTTACAGAATTTCTGGTATCCTTAAATAAGTCAAATTATGTCTACTTTGTTAAATTTATCTTTTTTCCCCCTAGTAAGTGGCTTTCCTATGAAAGAACATAGCAAGCTCCAGTTTGGAAATGGTTGATAACAATGCTAGGCTTCATATATACTTGTGTGGAATACTGACCTTTCAGCATGCTTGGACTTTTATTTGGTTTTCTGTTGATGACGTAGGAAAGAATGTTAGGGTTCGAAGTCAACAGCCAAAAAAGAATTCTTGAGATGTCTTTGGTGCAAAAAGGTGATTTTATTAAAGCATGGGGATAGGACCCGTGGGCAGAAAGAGCTGCACTGGGGTTGTGAGGAGTGGCCCATTACACACTTTCAAGTTGAGGGGGCACGGTTAGGGATAGACTATTAAGTCTCTAAGGAATTTTGGAAGCAAGGTTTCCATGACCTTAAGGGGGCTAGCTGTTGTTGGGAAAAGTTCACTTATTACCGTCTGATAAAACCTTAGTCATGAGACCCTTCAGATATATATCGGTGGGCCACATGCTTGGGTCATGATTGCCAACATGTATCTTGGGGTGTTTAGAGATAAAGGAAGTTTCCAAAGGAATTTTTGTATGTTAAAGTTGACTCACAGGGTCCTGGGGGTTAGACTAAGATTGCCTTTTGTCATTAGCAAAGTATCAACATCAAGGCAATTAGTCCCTAAAGGAAGGTCACTCTGCCTGTTTCCAGGGCTTGTCAATGGTCTGTAGATAGTAAGGAAATTGAATAATTTTTCTTCTGCCTTTGGTCCCCACATCATTAACGGTATCTGTGGTTGGCAGATTTGGAGCCTAGAGATGTCAGCCTAGTGACAGGTCTGGTGTCGGAGGAGAGCACAGCCTCTGACTAAGTCAGGTATGAAGGCAGTTCTACCTGCGTTCCAGGGGGGCTGGCCTTCTCTCTGTAAAGGCCAAATAGGAAATGTTTTAGGCTTTGAAGGTCATACGGTTTCTATAGCAGCCACTCCTTGTAGAGTGAAGCAGCCACAGATAATATGTGAACAAATGGGCTCAGCTCTGTTCCAGTGAAACTTCATGAATTCACACCGAACTTTGGACTTCATGTAACTTGCACATGTCACAAAGTATTCTTTTTTCCCCAACTATTTAAAAATGTAAAAGCCATTTCATCT